CGGGGGCGGGAGCGGGAGTTCGCGGGTTGGGTGGACCGGACTCCACGCCAGCGCTAACAATTTCTACCATTTTATTTCCATAAGGTTCAGTTGTTAAATAATTCTATTGTCAGATGAAGCACCTGAGACAATTCTATGTTTACGCATCAGCTATAGCTGCATAATTTATGTCATCATTTATACTTTGTTTTAATAAATCGAACGCAGTATTATCTAATGATAATTAAATTTACCCAGCATTTAAATATGCTGATTTAAAAAAATGAAGCAATACCATTACAGCTTTCGCTCCGAGGGCTATGGCTTTGAAAATATCAGTTCCATGTCGGACACCTCCATCAACTAGGACAGGAACTGCACCAGAAACGGCTTGAACCACCTATGGATCAGAGGGGGGGATGAGAAGTGATCCATGATTCAAAATAAGGAATGCTACCGCTGAACTTTTTAAATAAGTGATAAGATTATGATAGTTAAGCATAATATTAGCATTAATACAGGATAACAAAGCCATGCTATTCACTATATGAACTTCGATAGCCATTAGCCAACAACAAAGGAGGGGGAGAGGAAAGAGAGCGAGAGAGTTTCTATGTCCTGAAAAAAAAAATGGGGACATTTAAATACATACCACACAATTCTTATGTATTTACACATCTAACATATAAAAATTCATATTTACATGCAAACCACTAAAATCTTTAACATCACATCAAAAATACCACCATCATAGTACTTTTTAAAGTGAAATACATCGTTTTTGTGTATAGGTTCATGACACCAATGCATTTTAAGTGTAAATATCAAACTTTGGGTGTTAGATATATAAATACATAAGATTGTGCGGTATGTATGTAAATTTCAATAGAAAATATTTTAGACACAAGAAAGTGAATTATTACCTCTTCAAGAACAGATATTGTGGCTGGCACATAGTCAAGCTGCCGGCCACCATGATTTGACACAACTATCCCTGAGACTCCAAATTCTACAGCCTTCCTAGCTGTTTACATTAACTTTATTATATGAACAAATTTTTTTCATTATGTTTATGAGGAAAAAAGAAGAAGAAAAGAACCATGTGCAAACAAATTTTACCATCTTCTGCTGTAAGGATACCCTTAATCAGGATTGGCAATTTTGTGATAGATTTGAGCCATGCAATGTCCTGCAGCATAAAGTAGTACTATGGTAAATTATTTCGAATTTGAAAAAATAAAAAGAGACAGAGAGAGAAAGAGAGAGGGGCAGAGATTTGAGGAATGAATCTCTCAAAATGGAGGCATTGGGTAGAGAGAAATGAAAAAGAGATTTCTTAAGGAGAGGCTAAAGGACATTCATTATTTAATATTCAGCTCTAAAAGAATTACAGGACTTATTCCCAAAGAATGACATTTAAATTACTAATAATCAAGTTAAATATAAATAAGGATGATCATAAGATATATTAAATGACAGCTAAAGCCATAAACTCCTGACGAACGCAAAAAAGCAACAAAGTTAAGAACAAATTTATCGAAATCCTCATTATCCTCATAAGAAGTATTATCATAACTTCTGGTTGGCTTTATGAATTCCCACTATTTTTGGTCAGTTTTATTAATCACCGGTCTACAATTTTCTTACTTAGTGATGCATGAGATAATAAATCTATTTCTGCAAATCATTTTGCATCTCTATCCATTTTAATTTTAATCTACCACTTTTCCTTACAGATATTTTATTATTGATTTTGTATGCCCATCTTCGTGGTGAATTTTTTTGCCCATGATGTACATGTCCCAACAATCCAGGTTTTTATTTTACAGCTTTTTCTTGATCATATGATGTTCCTAATATATATCAATCATAATGATCTAGCAATCTATCATTCTTTCACATTGTTGCACATCCAACTTGATTCTTATTTTCAACTCTGCTCAACTTTTCTATCAACAGCTTCTTAACTACCCAAGACTCTAATCCATACGACATGATAGACGCAAAAAGCAATTTTATTAAACTTCTATTTAGCCTTCATGATATTATTTTATGCAAAGTACTTCTAAGTTAGGTCTTCATCTAAGCCTCTTAGCTTTAACTAGAAAAATGGTATCATCTACATCTTCACTTAGTTCTTTTGAAATTTATCATAATCCATCCTTAAAAGGTCCAAAAAAAAGAACTCAAATGAATAGTCCAAATAATGCATTATGAAGTTGAAATCATTACCAAACTTCAAATATTCTCATGTCTGGTGTAATAATAAAAGAGAGTTTCATAATTCATACCTTCCAACTCAGAGAAGGATCAAGAGTTCCATTCGCAAATGCTTGGAGGTTAGAACTACCTTCCTGTATTCAAGGAAAAACCAAACATAAGAGAATTAAATGATGCGGATAAGAATCTATAATAAAATGAAGCTGCATCAAGGAAAAACCAAACAGAGGAATTTTGAATGATGCAGATAATGGTCTACAATTAAACACATATGTCTAGTCAAGTACTACTCAAAGACAGCTAAGCAATACAACTCAAATTATAAGCTTTTTCTTTCAGAAATAAACTCTGATCAGACATTTCCTCAGGTAGAAGTCAATCACTGACATGTAGCATAACAGTTAATGAAGTAATATTACTTGTTGGTGGACCATGAACGAAGTAATATGCATGAACTGTCATTTGCCAAATCAGAGCTTTTCATGTAAATTGAAACAGATGTTATAGCACTCACATCATTAACATCAACTGACAGCAAGCCCTCAAGGTTTCCTAACTTTATTGCAACCATCCTGCATAAAGTAAGAATAAGCTTCGCTATTAAGAGATTCTATTGTTACAGCAAACCAAAAATTAAGAAAAAAAAAAATGAGGAACCGTTTGTATGGGAGTCATTGTGACAGTGATCAAGTAAAGGAGAAATGTTATATTTATTCCAGGTCTCTTAGCATGATATTAAAAGATATGGCACGAACAGCAAGAATTTACGCATATTTAGGTAAAAATACATGAGAGTAGAAGCTAGAAGAGGGGATTTGAAGTAGTTTACAAGTGCTTTATAAAGGTTACAAAGAGAGAGAAAAATTTGAGGAATTATACAAGGAACCCTTAGGTTACAGAAATTAGAAAAGAATATAGTTCAAGGCACTGATAACTTTGTCATTCCCCATTTAACTAAATGATGTGAATGGTATGCTCCAAGTTTTTCAGAAAGCTGAGGTCCAAACAATGATCATCATCATCCTCATCATCTCATCCCAGCTATTTGGGCTCAATATTATGAATACTTACATAATTAAGTTTAAGAAGAGGAGGCTTGCTACTCAGTAATACTCTATTAAAAAATAAATGGTGGCTAGCCATGAATTAAGGATAGAGCTATTCTAAGTTAAGTTTAGGGGATTTAAATTAGTTCAATAGAAATTAATTCTCAAAAAAACTTCCTTCATTTCATTGATGACAAACTTATAAAAAGCCATACAAGTTGCAATATTTACAAATAAATCACTAGACTTCATCTATTTACAAATAGGATCCTGGATTAAATACAAATCTCAACACTCCCCCTCAAGATGGGCAAAAGATATTCACTAAGTCAATCTTGTCACATAGCCTAGACAAAGCTAATGAGCCAAGTCATTTGGTGAGGCAGTCCGCCACTTGGTCTCCAGTGGAGAAATGACATAGCTCCAGTAGTCCATTATTAAGTTTTTCCTTGATGAAGAACCTATAAATCTCCACATGTTTGGCCCTATCATGTTGCACCTGGTTGTTAGCAATGTTGATTGTCGCTTATTGTCACACCACAACTTCATTTGAGTTCTCTGGTGCATTTTGAGTTCAACCAATATGGCTTTCATCCACATCATCTTAGCAACACCTAATGAAATGGACTTGTATTTTGCCTCCGTTGTTGAGCTTATTATAACTAAGTATTTCTTGCTCTTCCACTAAACCAAGTTGTCACCTGCTAACTATTAAAAATTGAGTTAAGAAAAAGAGAATAAATAAATTAATTAAATTAAAATCCTTAAAGTCCTAACTACCTATGGGGGCAAGGGACTGGTAGACATTGCAGACTAGCTCCCTCAGTGTACTTCTTCCTCCATGTATACACCCTTAACTCATCTTCAGCTCTAGGGTCAATCACCTCGATTTTCGTCTCCTCAGTTGATTCATCCCACATCACAGGACGTGAAATTGTTTCCACTTACATCACTCCATTACTACCACTTCTTACTCTCTCTTAACTCATATTTCTAGTGTTTGTTTAGTCACCAAAAGATGATTCATCTCCAAAGTGTAGTATAGTTCAAGCTCTCTGAAAGACACATTCATGATCGCAAAGAGTCTTTTCTCAATCGAGCTCCAGCAGACATAACCCTTTTGAGTAACAAAATAATATACGAAAAAAAATTTCACAGCTGGGATCCAACTTTCCTACAGATGGTCTGTTGTCATTCACAAAGCATAAACATCCAAATACCTTCAATAGAAGGATCCCATTATTATCTCCTTGCAACATCTGATAAGGAGACTTCTATTCCAGCACTCTTGAGAGATCCTGTTAATGAGTTGAGTGACTGTCAACACTGCTTACCCCCATAAGTGTCGTGGGACATTTATTGTCATCATCATGCTCAGAGCTACCTCTAGAAGATATTGATTCTTCCTCTCATTTACTCCATTCTGTGTTGGTGTGTATGGGCATATGGTTTGGAATTGTATCCCTTAAGCTGACAAGCAGTCCCCAAATGTTTTGTTGATATATTATGTCTCATTATCAGATCACGATAATTTCACAATTACATCATAGTGGGGCTGGATTGTTTTGTGAAAATTTTTAAAGCAAGCAACCACCTCACACTTTTGTTTCATCAGGTATATCCTGGTAACATGAAAAAAGCAATAAAAAAACGTATCAAAATACCGATAATCATTCATAGAACTAGTAGGATAAAGTGCTCATACATCAGGCTGTATCAAACAAAACACACCAGAGCTCTCAATCACATAACCGACATAAGAGCTACTAGTGAGCATGTCAAACTCACAAGTATCACACACCAGCTTCTCCTTATTTTTCTTTTCATACACAGATGATAACAACAAATTAGTAAACTTAGATTAGAATATTTCATACATTTGTGATGTAGTAGTAGCACATCCTCAGTGTTCCTCCTAGGTTCTCCTACTTGAGCACTTTTCACCATAGTTGTCAAAGTTGAGTCTTCTCGATCCAAATACCAGAGTCCTCTATGTCACGTACAAGCTCAAGGAGACTAATTCAAGCCATGCAGTGACTTCCTGAGCCTACACACCTTACCCACTGGTATCTCCATATATACCTTCTCCAGTAGCTCCCCATGAGGAAAAACATTCTTCATATCCAATTGTGGATTCTCTATCCACCATTCATTGCCCGAGAAGTCGGTGTCCTCACTGTGCTAATCGTTCTAACCGGTGTGAAGGTTTCATGGTAGTCAACGCTATACTTCTGGCTGTACTCTATTTCCATTAGTCGAGCTTTATACTTCTCTACCTTCCCTTATGGAGTTTGTTTCACCGTGAAAATATACTTGAATCCAACTCTCTTCTTCCCTGCTAGCACCAAGCTTTTCATGCATCGTTGTTTTTCACTTGAGATCCTCTTTACCAACTTGCCAACACTTGGATATAGAGATAGAGTCCAATGATACAATGAATGCTCCATTCAAAGGCGAGATGTTGCAATAACAAATAAAGCTCGCAATATCAAGTTCCCACCTAAAACGATTAGGAAAATGTCTCGCATTGCTGCAGGAGGTCTTCCTTAATATTGGGGGTAAGAGTGGATGTAGGAGGAATAATATCACCAAGGAGTTTTGAATCAAAGGTGAATGGTATAGAAGTCTCAAGAGTTGGAGAAAACCGAGATAAGAGATTTGTTGGCACTGTGGACTCTGTTCCCTCAGTTTGCTTCTTTCTCCATGAATATACCCTTAACTCACCTTCAACCTGAATCTCAGCACCTCTAGGTTCAATCTCTTTGATTTTGATCTCTTCAATTGACATGAGATTACTCTCACTTGCACAACTCTATCACCACTACTATTCATTTCTCTAGTCTCATATCTCTAGTGTATGTTATCTCCAGAGATTAATATGGTTCAAACTCTTTGAATGACACATCCATACTCATAAAGAGCCTCTTCTCAACTGGCTCCATCAGAAATAAACCTTCTGAGTGACAGAATAATCCAAGAACATACATTTCACAGCTTTAGGATCTAACTCCCCTAAAGATTGCCAATTGTCTTTCACAAAGCATGCACATCCAAATACATTTAATGGAAGGATTCCACTAATGTCTCCTTTCAACATCTGACAAAGAGATTTCTACTCCAGCACTTTTGAGGATATCCTATTAATCAATTGAGCGACTGTCAACACTGTTTTCCCTCATAAATGTTGTGAGACATTCATTATCAATAACATGCTCCGAGCTACCTATAGAAGAAATCAATTCTTCCTCTCTGTTATTTCATTATGTGTTGGTGTGTAACATCATGCTCCGAGCTACCTATAGAAAATGTCAATTCTTCCTCTATGTTATTCCATTCCGTGCTGGTGTGATGGGCATGTCGTTTGGTGTTATATCTCTTGAACTGACAGGTAGTCCCCAAATGCTTTGTTGATATATTATGTCTCATTATCAGAACGCAGTGTCTTCACAACAACACTATATTGGGTATGGATTATCTCGTGATAATCTTTAAAGCAAGCAATCATTTCACTCTTTTGTTTTATCAAGTATATCCAGATAACACAAAAAAAACAATCAAAAAACGTAACAAAATATCGATAATCATTCATAGAATTAGTAGAATAAAGTTTCCATATATCAAAATGTATCAAATAAAACTGACAAGAGCTCCTATTTCCAGAACTGACATAAGAGCTCCTAGTAAGCTTGTCAAAATCAAAAGCATCACACATCAGTTTCTTCTTATTTGTCTTTTCATATATAGATGGATACAACCGATTTAGTAAACTAAGACTACATTGTCTCATACGTCTGAGATGTAGCAGTAACACATGCTCGAGAGTTCCTCCTAGATTCTCCTACTGCAGCACTTTCCACCATAGATGCTAGAGTTGAGTACATCTCTCAATTCAAGTACTAGAGTCTGCTATGCCACGTTCCAACCCCAAGTGTATGGCCTGTCTCTTTATATTGAAGATCACTTGAGGAATATCAAAAGAAACAATGCATTTTAACTGAAGATAAATGACACTAATAAATAAGAGGTTTAATAGAAAATGAGCATGCAAAATATTGGACAAAATCATATGATTGGTACATCTTATTGTACTCTTATCAACTACAGGCTACGTTGTACCATCAGCAGTCTATATACTCTTTAGTACTACTATATGAGTATATGAAGGGACTCTCCAACAGTACCTGTCACGTGACAAGAAACACCACAATCTATGATCCATTCTGATGATTTTGTGGTAAAAGTAGAGACAAAACCAAGTGTGTTACAAGTACCTTTTCTGAAGCGAGCATAAGTGTCAATGTTACCTCTTCATGTTGATGACTTTGAAAGATCTTCAGCTCCATCTCGTGCTACTTTCTACTTTTTCTTCAACAGCTCCAGACACTCAGACACTAATGATCAATGATCCTCACTAGTAAAGATCACACATGTCTCTCCCTCGTCCTCTGCTATCATCAGATTTGTCTGATAGCCCCCTCTTCCACATTTCCAGCCCCCACAACCATGACCATGACCTCCACCTTATCCAAGTACACCTGTCTATCTCTCCTTATGTGGATTAGGATAGCCTTGCTCAGGTGGCCAACTTCACCGTAGTTGTAGCACTTGTGAGTCTCCCCCTGGACACCTAGCGTACCTGGGCTCATAGCAGTTAATGTTGATCGTGCACTCGAAAAATCACTCGACTAAGTGTGTAGCTTCATGCGACCCTCTTGTAACAATAGCCTCATCTAGTGTAAGAATAGTCACTGAGCTAGGAGACCGATTTCCTCTAATCAAAGGCCAAGTTTAGATGAGCCAGAAACTGCATAGTCCTCATGTGTGCAAAGATCTCTCCCTTCTTGCACCCCAGATCAACACAGCTAGGCATAGGTGATAAGTGATCAAGATCTTGCCACAGCGCTCTAGGTCTATAGAGTACTCCTAAATCGATCTATCACCCTAAACCACTATCTCTATCTCACGTTGAATCTGGAACGCCCTCATTTGATTCTTAGCTCCGACATAGAATTTCTTCAACTTTGCCCAAATGTCGCTCACCTTCTGAATGTCAACCACTAATGAGGCAGTCGATGAAACCAACGAATTGAGAAGCCAGGTGCAACGCAACCATGCGTGATCCTCCACTCATCCCTCCCAGCATTGTCACTATTTGGCTCAACCCCCGTCAAATATCCTGCTAGTCTCTTCCTTACTTGAGCACCCTCAATCAAGTGCAACCAGTCAAATACGCGGCCAATCCATCAGTTTCAGATCCATATGAGGGAGATCTAAATTCACCTGCGTCGGAGCATGTGCTGAGATAGTAGCTCTTGTCGAGATGTTGGCTCCCTATATGAGCTTGACCAAGACCTTTAAAACTTTGGAATCCATGCATGCTTCCATCCCATAAGTTTAAATCCCTTTACCCTGCATTATCTCCATCTCCCGACATTCCTCCGAACATAAAAATTGAAGCTTAGCCTGTTAATTCCTCCCTAGAGCGCAAATCAGCCCGCCAAAGACTTTTGCCCCCGATGTCTGTACTTTCTCGTCTCGCAAATCCAGCTATAGAAACTCCCCTACTCCCGAAGTCAACGCCCGCTCCTCTGGCTTCGCAGCAAGCGCCGGATTAAATAATTAGAAATCCTAAATCCTAAAGGAACTTATAAAGAGATCTCCAAGTGAATTTTCAATGTTATTGTGGTACTAGGAGTTTCAAAAGTTTCAGGTTTAGGGTAAGTTTCAGGTTTAGGGTTTTGGGCTAGTACCTGTTTTTCCTCTTCATTCCCACCA